GATGGTGCCCAGCTACCACCAATGACCGCCCTGACAGGGAACACAACAGAGAGTCCCGGATGGAGCAGGAGTAAGGTGGGGTGCAGAACTCAAATTCCAGTAAGAAGACCAGACTTAATGGTCTGACTGAGACTGGAGGTACCCTGGAAAGCACGGCCCCTAGATTCTCTATCAGCCCAGAATGAAGACAATTTCCGAGGCCAAGTGCTCAGACAGGGATTGGACTGGACTATGGGACAGAAAGTGATACTCGTAAGGAGTGTGCTTCTTAACTCAAGTAGATACAAAAGACTAAATAGGCACCTTCTGTCTGGAGGTGAGATGGGAAGGCAGAGAGGGCTAGGAACTGGTTGAATGGACATGGGGAATCAGGGGTGGAAAGGAGGAGTATGCTGTCACAATATGGGGAGAGCAGTTAGAGTCATGAAAGAAGCTCAATAAAGACACGGAAGGTTTAAATGCCACAATCAACCAACTTGATCTCATAGACATATACCGAACACTCCACCCAACAGAAGACAAGAATACTCTCTTTTCTAACGCATACGGAACAGTCTCCAGAATAGACCACTTATTAGGCCATAAAGCAAGCTTTTACAGAATCAAAAGCATCGAAATATTACAAAACATCATTTCTGATCATAAAACCATCAAAGTAGAAATTAACAACAGAAAAAGCAAGGAAAAAATCAAACACATGGAAATTGAACAACACCTTGCTCAAAAGCTACTGGGTTTTATAGAGGAAATTAAGGATGGAATAAAGAAATTCACAGAATCAAACGAGAATGAAAACACATCCTACCAGAAACATTGGGACACAGCAAAAGCAGTGCTCAGAGGTCAATTTACAGCAATAAATGCACAAATTCAAAGAGAAGAGAGGGCCAAAATCAAAATGTTAACCCTACAACTTGAACAGATAGAAGAGAGCAGCGAAAGAAGCCCTCGGACACTAGAAGAAAGCAAATAATAAAAATTAGAGCAGAATTACATGAAAAAGAAAATAGAAAAACTATTGAAAGAGATAACAAGACCAAAATCTGGTTCTTTGAAAAGATCAACAAAATTGATAAACCACTGGCCAAACTGACAAAAGAAAAACAGGAGAGGAAGCAAATAACTCGAATAAGAAATGAGATGGGTGCTATCACAACAGACCCAACTGAAATTCAAAGAATCATAACGGAATACAATGAAAAACTGCACTCCAACAAATTTGAAAACCTAGAGGAAATGGACAAATTTCTAGAAACACACTACCTAACTGAACTAACACAAACAGAGGTAGAACAAATAAATTAACCTACGACAAAAGAAGAGATTGAAAAGGTAATTAAAAAACTCCCAACAAAGCTGACAGCTTCACTGGAGAATTCTACCAAACATTCAGAGAAGAGTTAGTACCACTTCTACTACAGGTATTTCAGAGTATAGAAAAGGATGGAATACTCCCAAGCTCATTCTATGAAGCCAGCATAACCCTGATATCAAAACCCGGTAAAGACACCACAAAAAAAGAAAATTGCAGACCAATATCCCTCATGAACATAGATGCAAAAATCCTCAACAAAATTCTAGCCAATAGAATTCAACAACATATCAAAAAAAATAATTTACCATGATCAAGTGGGATTCATACCAGGTATGCAGGGATGGTTCAACATTAGAAAAACAATCAAAGTAATCTATCACATAAAGAAAAGAAGAGACAAGAACCACATGATCTTATCAATCGATGCAGAAAAGGCATTTGACAAAGTCCAACATCCATTCACGATAAAAACTCTCAGCAAAATAGGAATAGAAAGGAAATTCCTCAACATAATAAAGGGCATTTATACAAAGCCAACAGACAACATCGTCCTAAGTGGAGAGAGTCTGGACACATTCCTCTTGAGAACGGGTACCAGACAAGGATGCCCTTTATCACCACTCTTATTCAACATTGTGCTGGAGGTCCTAGCAGGAAGAAGTAAAAGTATCTCTATTGCAGATGATATCATCTTATACACAGAAAACTCCAAAGAATCCACAAGAAAAATACTGGAACTAATAGAAGATTTCAGCAAAGTACCAGGATACAAGATGAAGATAAAAAAATCAGTTGGATTCCTCTACATCAATAAAGAGAACTTCGAGAAGGAAATCACCAGTCAATACCACTTACAGTAGCCCCCTAAAAGATAAAATACTTAGAAATAAATCTAACCAGAGACGTAAAAGACCTATACAAAGAAAACTACAAGATACTACTGCAAGAAACCAAAACAGACCTACAGAAGTGGGAAAACATACCTTGTTCATAGATAGGAAGACTCAACATTGTGAAAATGTCTATTCTACCCAAAGTGATCTACAAATACAATGCAATCCTGATCCAATTTCAAATGGCATTTTTTAATGAGATGGAGAAACAAACCACCAACTTCATATGGAAAGGGAAGAGGCCCCGGATAAGTAAAGCATTACTCAAGAAGAACAAAGTGGGAGGCCTCACACTGCCTGATTTTAGAACCTATTATACCACCACAATAGTCAAAACAGCCTGGTACTGGTACAACAACAGATATACAGACAACTGGAACAGAATTGCGAATCCAGATGTAAATTCATCCACCTACGAGCACCTGATATTTTACAAAGGCCCAAAGTCCATTAATTGAGGGAAAAGACAGTCCCTAACAAACGGTGCTGGCATAACTAGCTATCCATCTGCAAAATACTGAAACAAGACCCATACCTCCCACCATGCACAAAGACTAACTATATAGATCGAAGACCTAAATATAAAATCTAAAACGATAAAGATCATGGAAGAAAAAATAGGGACAACGCCAGGAGCCCTAATACATGGCATAATCAGAATACTAAACATTAGTAACAATGCACAAACACCAGAAAGTAGATAACTGGGAGCTCCTAAAAGTCAAACACTTATGCTCATCAAAGGACTTCACCAAAAGAGTCAAAAGACAACCTACAGACTGGGAAAAAAATTTTGGCTACTACGAATCCGATCAGTGTCTAATCTCTAAAGTCTACAAGATACACGAAAATTTCAACAACAAAAAGACAAATCACCCAATTAAAAAATGGGCAACAGATGGGAACAGGCCCTTCACCAAAGAAGACATTCAGGTGGCTAACAGATACATGAGGAAATGCTCATGATCATTAGCCATTAGAGAAATGCAAATCAAAACTACAATGAGATACCATCTCTCCCCAACAAGGCTAGCATTAATCCAAAAAACACAAAATAATAGATGTTGCAGAGGTTGTGGACAGACTGGAACACTTATACACTGGTGGTAGGAATGTAAAATGGTACAACTGCTTTGGAAATTGATTTGGCGCTTCCTTAAAAAGCTGAAGTAGAAGTACCATATGCTCCAGCAATCCCACTCCTAGGAATATATCCTAGAAAAATAAGAGCCGTCACATGAATAGATATATGCATACCCGTGTTCACTGCAGCACTATTCACAATACCAAAAAGATGGAAACAAGCTAGGTACCCACCAACAGATGAATGGATAAATTATGGTATATTCATAGAATGGAATACTATACATTGATAAAGAACAACGATGAATCTTGGAAACATCTCATAACATGGAGGAATCTGGAAGGTATTATGCTGAGCAAAATTAGTTGCAAAAGGACAAATATTATATGAGACTACTATTATAAGAACTCAAGAAATGGTTTAAACACAGAAGAAAACATTCTTTGATGGTTACAAGGGTGGGTAAGGAGGGAGATGGGTATTTACTAACTAGGTAGTAGATAAGAATTATCTTAGGTGATGGGAAGGACAACACACACTACAGGGGAAATCAGCACAACTGGACTAAACAAAAAGCTAAGAAGTTCTCTGAATACAAGCAAACACATTGAGGGACAAAGTAGTAGGGGCGGGGGTCTGGGGACCATGGTTTCAGGGGACAGCTAGGTCAACTGGCATAACAAAGTTTATTAAGAAAATGTTCTGCATCCCAATTTGATGAGTGGCATCTGGGGTCTTAAAAGCTAGCAAGCGGCCATCTAAGACACACCAATTGGTTCCAGCCCACCTGGAGCAAAGGAGAATGAACACCAAAGACACAAGGGAAATATTACCCAAGAGACAAAATGGGCCACATTAACCAGAGAGTCCATCAGCCTGAGACCAGAAGAACTAGATGGTCCCCAGCTACCACCAATGACTGCCCCAACAGGGAACATATCAGAGAGTCCCTGATGGAGCAGGAGAAAGTGGGGTTCAGAACTCTGCGCTAAATTGAGTGATTTTTAGTTTTTTCCTGTTTGTGTTTCTGCGTTTTCTTTTGTCTCCTTTCTTTTTCTCTCTCTCTTTTCCTTTCCTTTTATAACAAGTATGTGTCATTTGTTTAGTTAAAAACAAAGGGAGAAAGAACAATGGGATAGAAGAGAATCCTTTAACACAGTTTAGGTTGAAAAAGGAGACTAAGTGAGTGAAGACATGGAAAGAAATACAAATAGAATCAAGAATTTAAAGGAAGAACAGCAAATGGTAGCTTATGTAACTAGATACCATCTCCAAAAATCTGCTTACCGTTTCTGCGTTGATGTACCTCAGATCTTGGTGTCTCCCTGACACAGTTGGCAGTGCACACACCTAGAAATAACTAAGAGTTGAAATAACAGCAAGTTTTCCACACCTAAGTTTGAGATTAAAGACTCATATATAGTCCTTCTTTCCAAATGACCCTTAAAACTCTAGAGATCTTAAAAATCAGATGATCTCTATAATGTGCATATGCAGCAATTCCACTTCTAAGAACTGATCCTAAGGAACTAATTAAGGATGTGCACAGAGTTGAAGATCTAGCTGCAAATATATACATCTCAGCATAGTTCATAAGGAAAAATTGTAAAACTAAAATCCTACAAGAAGGGATTTATCAAGAAGTTATCAGTAGCTAAAAAATGAAATATGATGCAGCCATTAAGAATGATAAAATGATGAAGCAGAACTGTTTAAGTTTTTTTTTTCAGTTTTCATAGCCTGAGATGTCAAGCATTCCAAGGATGTTTGCTACATGAGCACTCATCGTACCACTGATTCCACCTGATCTAACAATGAGGTGACTTGATGCAGCGGCCAGCATGGGGATTGTGATTATAGTTCCAGGAGTTCACTTTGGAGCTGCGAAGGCACTGTATGAGGGCGTGTGTTTGCCCAGTAATTTGCAGCTGTTGACAAATTTGGGAACTTTCTAGGAGTAAGATCAGCAACAGCGGAATGTCAAATTGCTCCGCTGTATTCAAATAAAGGCGTACGTCAGAGATTCGGGGATACTGTGGATTTGGTTCCAGACCACCACAATAAAGCAAGTCACACAAATTTTTTGGTTTCCCAGTGCATATAAAAGTTATGTTTACACTATACTGTAGTCTATTAAGTGTGCAATAGCATTATGTCTAAAAAAAAAACCATACGTACCTTAATTGAAAAACGCCTTATTGCTAACGAAACCCTGGTGGCGTAGTGGTTAAGCACTATGGCTGCTAACCAAAAGGGCGGCAGTTCGATTCCACCAGGCGCTCCTTGGAAACCACATGGGGCAGTTCTACACTGTCCTATAGGGTCACTATGAGTCAGAATCGACTTGATGGCAATGGGTTACTGCTAAAAAATGCTAATCATCATCTGAGCCTTCAGCCAGTTGTAATCTCTTTGCTGGTGGAGGGTCTTGCCTCAATGCTGATGGCTGCTGACTGATCAGGGTGGTGGTTGTTGAAGGTTGGGGTGGCTATGGCAAGTTCTTAAAATAAGACAACAATGAAGTTTGCCACATTGATTGACTCTTCCTATCATGAAAGATTTTTCTGCAGCATAGGATGCTATTTGATATAATTTTACCCACAGCAGAACGTCTATCAAAACTGGAGGAAATCCTCTCAAACCCTGCCACTGCTTTGTCAACTCATTTTTATGTAATATTTTAATCCTTTGTTGCCATTTCAACAATGTTCACAGCATCTTCACCAGGAATAGATTTCATCTCAAGAAACCTTGAGAAGTTAGAGGGTTGACATGTTGTGGGGTTGTTAACCAATGTCATAAAACAATATGTGTACTACTGTTTCATGAGAAACTATTTGTTCTGTAAGGCTTCACCTGAAGTACAGTAAAAAATAAAAATGAAAAAAATGAAAGAAACCACTTTCTTTGCTCATCCATAAGAAGCAACTCCTCACCTGTTAAAGTTTTATCAGCAGATTGCAGCAATTCAGTCACATCTTCAGGCTCCACTTCTAATTCTAGTTCTCTTGCTATTTCTACCACATCTGCGGTTACTTCCCCCACTGAAGTCTTGAACTCCTCAAAATCATCCCTGAGGGTTGGAACCAACTGCTTCCAAACACCTGTTAATGTTGATATTTTGACTTCCCCCCAAGAATCACAAATATCCTTAATGGCATCTAGAATGGTGAATCCTTTCCAGAAGGTTTTCAATTTACTTTGCCCAGATCTGTCAGAGGAATCGCCATCGATGGCAGCTATAGCCTTACAAAACGTATTTCCGAAATAATAAGACTTGAAAGTTTAAATTATTCCTTGATCCATGGGCTGTAGAATGGATGTTGTGTTAGCAGGCATGAAAACAATAACCTCCTTGTACATCTCCATTAGAGCTCTTGGGTTACCAGTTGCATTGTCAATGAGCAATAGTATTTTGAAGGGAATCTTTTTTTCCTGAGCAGTAGGTCTCAAAAATGGGCTTAAAATATTCAGTAAATCAAGTTGTAAACAGATGTGCTGTCATCCAGGCTTTGTTTTTCCATTCATGGAGCACAGGCAGAGTAGATTTAGCATAATTCTTAAGGGCCCTAGGATTTTCAGAATGGTAAATAAGCATTGGCTTCAACTTAAAGTCACCAGTTGCATTAGCCCCTAACAAGAGAGTCAGCTTGTCCTTTGAAGCCAGGCATTGACTTCTCTCTATGTAAGTCCTAGATGGCTTCTTCTTCCAATATAAGGCTGTTTCGCCTACACTGAAAATCTGTTGTTTACTGTAGCCACCTTCATCAATTATCTTAGCTACATCTTCTGGACAACTTGCTGCAGCTTCTACGTCAGCACTTGCTGCTTCATCTTGCATTTTTATTTTATGGAGATGGCTTCTTTCCTTAAACCTCATGAACCAACTTCTGCTAGCTTCAACCTTTTCTTTTGCAGCTTCCTCACTTTTCTCAGCCCATTAGAATTGAAGAGTGTTAGGGCCTTGCTCTGGATTAGGCTTTGGCTTAAGGAAATGTTGTGGCTGGTTTGATCTATCCAGACCAATAAAACTTACTCCATATCAGCAATAAGGCTGTTTTGTTTTCTTATCATTCGTGTGTTCACTGGAGTAGCACTTTAAATTTCCTTCAAGAACTTTTCCTTTGCATTCATAACTTGGCTGTTTGGTGCAAGAGGCCTAGCATTTGGCCCATCTCGGCTTTCGACATGGCTTCTTCACTAAACTCAATCATTTCTAGCTTTTGATTTAAAGTGAGAGACAGGCGACTCTTCCTTTCACCTGAACACTTAGAAGCCATTGTAGGGTTATTAATTGGCCTAACTTCAATATTGTCATGTCTCAGGAATAGGGAGGCCCGAGAAGAGGGAGAGAGACGGGGTAACTGTCAGTCTGTGGAGCAATCAGAACACACACATTTATCGATTAAGTTCACCATCTTACATGGGTGTGGTTTGTGGCAATTACAATTATAATAGTAACATCAAAGATCACTGATCCGAGATCACCATAACAGATATAATAATAATGAAAAAGTTTGAAATATTCAGAGAATTACCAAAATGTGACACAGAAACACAAAGTGAACATATGCTATTGGAAATATGGCACTGACAGACTTGCTCGACGCAGGGTTGTCACAAACCTTTAATTTTTAAAAAACGCAATATCAGCAAAGAGTAATAAAGCAAAGCACAATAAAACAAGGTATGCCTATAGTTTCCCAGGAGAGTCCTGACATTCTTGGAAGTCTCCAGGAATGCAGGAATTTCATACACTACAAGTCTCAGAGCGATGGTTCCATCCATGCACTGTTCTGAGTATTCATGGATTGTATTACATGTTGTCATTTGTGCGTAACTGGCTACCATGAGTGCTTGCTCCGTCAGTTCTTTCCTGGGAGATTAAAAACCAATGGTAATTAGACTGAAGACAAATGGTCCAACCCATGGCTGTCAACTGATCCAGTCAATGACCTGCCCTGCTGGGTAGCCGAAGAGATTTGCTGGATCCTTGTATTCGTCTTTCCCAATCAAGACCGTAAAAGCATTAAATCTTCTCCTGACCTGCTATGCATTACTGCGGATCTTGGCAGAAGATCCAACAACAACCCCAAATAAGACATCACATCCAAACTTGTAAATTGATGCTATTTCAAGAGTAACCAGAGGTGGTCGATTGGAAACATCCCAGGCCTTAGGGTAGAATTTAGCAGTTGTTTTATGGCTAACCCTTCTATTAAATTGTATAAAAACACAAGTTCCAGAGTGACTTCATTGAATCTACTTCACCATGTGGGATCAAAAAAGGCCTTTGTGTTGAGAGCTAAGTCTTCGAGCTTCCTAATATCCGGGACTTTTTCAGCTGCATTTTCTGTTAATGCAGGATTCTTCCTTTAAAAGGCTGAAACCTATTGTGATCCTCCATTGTTGGTTGGATAGCTTGGTATTCTTTGGAGAGTATTCCAGAACTGTTTACTGACATGAAAAGATGTTACTAATATTAAACGAGAAAAAAATCCACAGGTCACAAAACAGTATAAAGGGGAAAAACAAAAACTGTGTGTGTGTGTGTGAGAAAATCATAGAAATAAGTTTGGAAGAATACATGCCATGATGTCAAAAGCAATAATTACTCTGGTTGATGAGATTTGGGGTAAATTCATTTTCTACCTTTTCTGTAATGACCAAGTATTATTTATATAATTTTAAAAAGATATTAATAAAAATAAAATATTGAACTTGTCAAGGATTTTATTTCACTTGGATCCACAATCAATGTCCGTGGAAGAAGTAGTCATGAAATCAAATGATGGCCCAGCTACCATTACTGAACATTTTGATCAAAGATTCCAAACAAGAATGTTGATCAAAAGGGGGAAGATGCAGAACAGAATTTCAAAGTCTCATGGACTCCAGATTTTCTGGAGCCATGGAGGCTGGATGAACTGAAACCATTGTCTGAGATAATTTTTAAATCGTAAACCAAAAATATCCCCTGAAGTCTTCTTAAAACCAAACAATAGTTTAGCTTAACTAGTAAAAAAAATGTCTGCCTTGAGTATTAGGCTCTTTTAAGACCTAGCTATATGGGATCAAAGTGACAACAGCAACTCGAAAGATTAGAAAGGAATCTTAGGGAGCAGTGAGTTTATGTTAATGCAAGAGGAACAACTCAGAAAAGGAGGGTGAGAATGGTTGCACAACCCAAAGAATGTAATCAATGTCACAGAATTGTACATGTAGAAACTGTTGAATTGGTCTATGTTTTGATGTGTATGTTCTCAACAACAACACCAAAATTAAAAAAAAGAAATCAGAGAACATATTGCATTGGGCAAATCTGCTGCAAAAAATCTCTTCAAAGTGTTAAAAAGCAAAGACATCACTTTGAGGACTAAGGTGTGCCTGACCCAAGCCATGGTATTTTCAATCGCCTCATATGCACGTAAAACCTGGACAATGATTAAGGAAGACTGAAGAACTGATGCATTTGAGTTTTGGCGATGATGAAGAATATTGAATATACCATGGACTACCAAAAGAATGAACAAATCTGTCTTGGAAGAAGCACAGCCAGGATGCTCCTGAGAGGCAAGGATGGCGAGACTACATCTCACATATTTTGGACATGTTATCAGGAGGGATCAGTCCCTGGACAGGGACATCATGCTTGGTAGGGTAGAGGGTCAGCAAAGGAGAGGAAGACCCTCAGTGAGATGGACTGACACAGTGGCTTCAACAATGGACTCAAACATAGCAATGATTGTGAGGATGGCACAGGTCTGAACAGAGTTTCGTTCGGTTGTACATAGGGTCGCTATGAGTTGGAACCGACTCCACAGCATTTAACAACAACAATCAAAATAAAAGATAAAAAGCCTCATACCTGCCCTGCTGTTTGGATTATCTCATAATGAATAAGGAATAAATAGTTTCTCACTGGAAAGGCTCAGTGCCTAGATCTACCGCTAGAGCACCACGAGTTATCAGAGAGTACTTGGTGAGGATACATAATAACACCCAGTATCCTCTGCAAGTAGGGAAGAAAAGATTCAGACTCTAAATGGCTCCCTGGAATATAGAATGACTGTAACCAAACTCACCTTGGAGAAATCACCAATCAGATGTCCCTGGTTAGAATCTTCCTCCAGTACTTGAGTAACACGAATGTCACAGAGAGAGACTGTCTTCTTTAGACCTAAGCCCTGGAGATGACAAGGCCCCAACCCCAATCACCATGTTAAAAAATTTGAAAATTTGAAATGGTAGGGAGGGGAGGTTCTTTAAAAATATTCATACTCTTTGATTTAATCATTCCACTTTTTCCCTAAGGAAACAAAGACATGCATAAAGATTTGGCTATAAGGATAGCTATTCCAGCATGTTTTTAATAGAGAAAAATTACTAATAAATTAAATAATCGGTAGCAGGGTCTTGGTTAAACAAAAATCATATTCTACACATGATAGCAATAAAAAATATGCTGTAGACAAATTTTATTTGACATGACAATAAGTTTACAGTATCATTAAATAGGTTAGAAAACAGTATGTTCTTTGTAATGCCACTTTAGTAAAAGAAAAAAAATACATAGAAAAATGTCTGAAAGAATGCATATCAAGTATTAATAGTAATTATCTCTGGCCTGTGGGATTGTGGATATTTTACATTTTATTTTTTGCTTATTTCATTTTCTATTTTTCTAAATATCACATACTGATTTTATAAGAAAACATAGTAAAAGGTATTCAGATTTTTTTAAGGGAGAGGAAACGGATGAAAGCTAAGTTTTTTAGAAGTTACTTTCAACTAAACCAGCCTGCTGTATGATGATGTTTCAGATTACATGTAAATCCGCAGTTAAGTATGCTTAACAAAGATCCCTTGTATTCTCTCAGGTCTTAAAAAAAAAAAAAAGGGGTTGGGAAGAAAGTATGATGATATCATTTCCAAAAGTATAATATTGCAATAGATATTTATTGTTAAATATACTTTATATGGATATTGACATAGAAAAAGTAAAAAGAAAGATGGAAAGAACACAGATATAAAGGAAAACCTAATGAAGAGGATGAAAAAGATGTACTAAAGCAATCCCTATCCTGGAAAGATAGAGAAGACAATGAGATAGAAGATTAACAGATGCTCATCTTAAAAAGTGCTTACTTTCCCAAGCACGTTATGGCTGGAACAATGCTTCCTTTTTACCTGATCTGGTACTGGGTTGTCCTTGAATTCTACCACCTGCTTCAGTCTTGGCCTGTTCAGATTCTCTGGCATCGAAGGGGAGCGATACAGGTAGCTTCTGTTCAGAGATGCCTATTTGGGAATATCAGACCCCTTAGTTCTTATTCTTCAAAGTTGTCTGTAGACCAGCAGCATCAACATCTCCTGAGAGTTTGTCAGAAATGTAGAATCCCAGATGTTAAGCCCCACCCCAGACCTACTGAATTAAAATCTTCATTTTAATAAGATGCCCACGTGATTCCTAGGAACACTCAAGTTTGAGAAGCAACGCCCTAGGTGGGCACACCATCTTCCCCTCCTAACTGACATCTTTCTCCTCAGACTGCGTGATGTTCCATCTCCCCTAGATGTTTCAACTCTAGCCAAACCAAGTTCTCCACCTGACTGTCTTAAATGAGCCACTTCTTGTAGGAGAAAGCGCACACAAGCTTTCCAGTCATGTGATGAAAAACAAACCTAAGCCCAGTTTCTCTGTGGGTGCCTAGGACAATGACAATCAGGATTTAAGGAACCCAACAAAACTGAAGACAACAAATCAAAGAAGTTAGCCAGAGTGAACCACCACTAAGCAGTAGCAGTATATGTCACTTTTTTGGTAGCAATTTCTTTGTGTGAGGAAAAGGAAAATATCATTCAGCCTTCTTATAAACAGGATTGTTAACATGGAATAAAAATAGCAATATCAGCATCATGCAAGAGAAAGGGAAACACTAGAATCAAATAACAGGATGACCACTATAGGACTGACACTATGAAACCCATCAGGAAAAGAAATGGATTAGATACCATAAAGAACTGGCCTTGGGGATTGTTGGCACAGGAATAGACTAAAGTTAAGTATAAGAGGATAAATTGTTGTCTATTTGAAAGGCATGACTTGGGTGTGATAACCCCATATATTAAATGATCCTGATAATAACTTCCAACTAATCCAAGATTCTTATTCTCTCTTTCCAAATGCCCTGGTCTAAAAGTTTAGGCAAAAGCTCCTTCTCTACAAATTCACTAACAGTTATGGATTGATTTAGGAGGGGGCTAGACAATAAGAAAGTTATACTGGAAGATGGTTGATGGTCAATGGTTTCTGGAAAAGGAAAATGAGAATATCAACATTTTATTTTATAACTATGTCTATTGTAGTGTCTACCACACACTAAGTCTAAAGAAAACTGCCTTGCTCATGGTACCAGCTGAAGGTACAGCTGCATTTTGTATACCAACGTTCTACACCCACCTTTTCCCTTGGATCTTTGCTAGCCATTCCCCTATGTCCCCACTCACCCTACCTCCAGTCATTGATGAGTGGACCATATTGCTGGTTGAACACACACCTATTAATTGGCCTAGAATAAGGAAAAATAATCTGGGCCAATTAAGCTCCCTCTCTTGGGAGTCTAACTTGGAAAATGGAGAAATAATTCAGCAGCAGCAGGAGCCAAGCTTAAAAGGAAGAAGCCAAGAGATACAGTCAACATTATGAGGCCAATGACGGATGGATGGATGGATGAATCAAAGGGTATATATTGTTTTTGGGTATCGTCCAGTCGATTTTGACTCATAGTGACCCGATGTGACAGAGCAGAACTGCCCCAGAGGGTATTTCTGGCTGTAATCTTTACAAAACCAGGTCTTTCTCCTGCAGGGCCACTGGGTAGGTTTGAACCACCAACCTTTCAGTTAGCAGCCGACACTTTACCGTTGCTCTGCCAGGGCTCCTTAAAGGTATGGTAGGACAGAAGATATGGTAAGGGATTGAGGAATACGTTGCCCAGCCTCCGTGACAGACTTCCCTTCAATAACTTCAATTTGATGGGTGTTTTTCCTTGAGAAGAAGAAAGTCAGATCAGAATTTCAGATTTGCTAGCCTTAATGCAATCTTTAGGAGCCCCAGTGGCACAATGGTTAAGCGCTGGACTGCTAACTGAAAGGTCGGTGGTTCAAACCCACCAGCTGCTCTGTGGGAGAAAACACCTGGCAATCTGCTTCTGTAAAGATTACAGCCTAGAAAGCCCTATGAGGCAGTTCTACTATGTTGCATGGGGTTGCTGTGAGTTGGAAATGACTCAAGGGCACACAACAACAGTGCAATCTTTATTTCATGTAACCCAAAGAGCCCCTCTAGAACACACGATAATTGCTAAGCTAAAGGCTCATTTTAATCAGAGTTTGGAATTATTTAAGAACTTATTGAAACAATGCTAACACTGTTGGTCTATCTGACCCTATGGTAGATTTAAGTGCTGGAATGGAAGCTTCTTAAGGGAAAGGACTATGTTATAACAATGTTTGATTTGGTTTTATCTTTTTTAAAGTAAGGCTTTAATAAGTATAAAAGTATAATTTACCTACACTAAAATTCACCCTTTTAAGTGTACAGTTCTATGAATTTAGGCAAATGGATATAGTCATGTAACTACCACCATAATCAAAATATAAAACGGTTCCATCACTCCCCCAAATTCCCTTATGCTTCTTTGTAGTCAACCCCTGCCCCTACCCCTAACCCCTGGAATTCACAGATCTGTTTTCTGTCTTTACAGTTTTATCTTTTCCAGAATCACATCCATGCAATCATATAGAATGTAGCCTTTTGAGTCTGGCTTCTTTCACTCAGTATAATGTACATAAAATTAATCCATGTTGTTGCATGTATCAATAGTTTATTCCTTTTTATTGCTGAGAAGTATCCCATTGTATGAATTTACCACAGTTTTTCTATCCAGTCTCCTGTTGAAGGTCATTTGGGCTATTTCCAGCTTTTAGTGATTATGAACAAAACATTCATGTACAAGTTTTTGTGTTTTTACAAGTTTTCATTTCTCTAGGGTAAATACTTATGTGTGGGCTTGCTAGGTTAAAAGGTAAGAATTTGTTTAACTTTATAAGAAGCTGCCAAACTGTTTTTCAAAGTGGCTGCCTCATTTCACATTCCCACTAGAAATGTGTAAGAGTTCTAGTTGCTCTATACCCTTGTCAGCACTTGATATTGTCATTTTTAATTTTAGCCATTCTAACAGGTATACAGTGGTATCTCATTGTGTGTTAATAAGCATTTCCCTAAATGACTGGAATGTTGAGCATATTTTCATTTGTTTATTTGTCATTCATATATTTTTTTTGGTGAGTATCTTTTCAAATCTTTTTGCCAATTCTTCCTATTCTTATTTGTTTTCTTATTATTGAGTTTTGAGAATTTTCTTAATATATTGTGGATACAAATCCTTTATCAGATTTGCAAATATTTTTTCCTGGTCTGTAACTTCTCTTTTTAACAGATCTTTCTAAGAGCAGAAGTACTTAATTTTTATTAAGTCTAGTTTATCAATATTTTTAGTATTGTATCTAAGAAATCTTTGCCTAACTCAAAGTCACAAAAATTTTCTCCTACGTTTTCTTCAGAACAGAACACCGAACAACAAAGGATTGTGATATCTGATCAGTGGGAAACAAGTGAGGCAAGTCCTATGACTGCCCTAGATTATTACCTAGAGAGGCTTCTGGGCTGTGGCATGTGAGGGGGTGGGGCAAGTAGAGACCAGAAATCACCCTGAGTGAGGAGACAAAGCCTGGTGAAGCCAAGGTGGCTACAGTTCACAGGGCAAAATACTAGAGTAGGACAGAACTTCCCAGAAAGAGAGAGCCAGAGATGTACAGAGGGTCCTGCTGGAGTTACCAGCTGAGTAATAATCAATGCATGACATGAGTGTTAGGAAACTACCTGAGGCTAGGAAAATAACCATCTGAAAGGATTAGAAGAAATTTCTAGAGCTCACACAGGGAAGGGAGTAGTTCCTGGAAAAATGGCCAGAGTGGAAAACCTCATAACTCATGGGGCATCAAGTAGAGTACTCAGAAGGGTTTTGTCTCAGTTATTGTTTCTGTGTGCCATTGAGTTGGTTCCAACTCATAGTGACTCTATAGGATAGAGTAGAACTGCTCTGTAGGGTTTCCTAGGCTATAATCTTTAAGAAAGCAGTGGAGGCAAAATTAGCCCTAGATTAAATGCTGATCTGGGTTAAACTATGTCCAAGTAACTTAACTGTATCTCAAGATAAGCTCCAGAATATTTATAGGAACACAAAAACACACAGCACTCAGCAAGGTAAAATTCACAATGTCTGTCATCCAAAAAAAACTTATCATGCATGAAAAAGAAAACGTGACTCCACAACTCACAAACTGAGTGGGGTGGGGAGGGCCAGTCAATCAAAAACAACTCCAGAAATGACATAGATGATAGAATTAGAAGGCAAGAACATTAAAAGAGCTTAAGAACATGTTAAGTAGAAACAAGGAAGATATAAAAAAGACCCAAGTTGAACCTCTGGAAATGAAAAACTGCAATGTCTTGAGATGAAAACTACACTATATAGGATTACTAGCAGATTAGATACTGCAAAAGAAAAGTTAAGTGAATTTAAAGACATAGAAATAGAAACTATCCAAAATAAAAGAGATAAAAAAGAAACAAAAAATAAGTAAAAAGAACACCAGTGAGCTATGGAACAATTTCAAGAGGCTTACTATATGTTTAATTGGAATCTCTAAAAGTGTAGAGGAGAAAAAATATTTGAAGAAATAGCTGAAACCTTTCCCAATCTGATGAAAGCTACAAACCCACAGATCTAAGAAGCTCAACTAATCTCAAGCTCAAAAAGATGAAGAAAACTACACCAAGGCACATCAGAATCAAATTGCTTAAAACCAGTGATAATGAGAAAAAAGACACATTACACACAGAGGAAAAAAGATTAGTATGACAGCAGATTTCTCCTCAGAAACAATGCAAGCAAGAAGATAGTGGAGCAGGATCTTTAAAGTACTGAAAGAAAAAAAGTCAACTTAGAATTTGGTATCCAGTGAAAATATCTTTCAAAATTGAAGCCGAAAAACAAAAAGGAAAAGAATAAGGTATAATGAAGACTTTTTCAGACATATAAAAATGGAAAGAATTCATCACTAGCAGACTTTCACTACAAAAAATGTTAAAGAAACCCTTGCAAGTAGAAGGAAAATGAAAATATGGATCTATAGATCTTTAAAAGATATTGTTGAAAGTAAAAATAATAACA